TTAAACTGATACGGTTTCCCTACACAGTCACACACTGAAGTCTCTGTCTGACAACACAAAAATGAAGCAGACTTTGAACTTAGTTTTTTTTTAATGCCTAGCATAATTACTGTTCCTGCAACCAGTTAACAAAGGTTAGTTTACATCCAGGTGCCAGCTGGAGTTTCCAAAGCAGTGATAGATCAGTCAGGCAGGTATAGCCAGAGATCAGGGTCATTCATCTCTTTTTCTGAACGCACTGTCTAGGATGGAGAGAGGTCCTTTGATTAATAAGCTGGAGTTGGTGACCTGAGAGAGAGTGATGGTCCTCCTGATAGTCTGTAGATAGTCTTTTCTCTTTGCTCCCACCTCTGGGCTTGCCTCCATACTTCAATGTGCTCCATGGACTCTGGGCCCAGAGAGCTCTCTTCCACTCTTGCTCTTAACACTTTTAAAGAGAAAAAACTCCATATTTATTCAAAAGAATGATACTCCAAAAGCAACAGTGTTAACATACTTACTTTTGCTGTCCATATAAAGGTCTGATCTCTCCATAGGAAGCTAAACTCAAACTAAAGTAAATCTTACTCAGACTCATCAGGGGATCATCCTTACTTGAATAAATTGGCTTCTGTGACATTCATCTCCCATTTGCACATCTGTAGGCTCTTCCATCTGTCAAACAATTCTGTTTGTTTCACCCTAAAAGATAAAAAGAATGAATATAAAATTCACTTTATTACCAGGACTTCATTTCCTAAAGCAGCTGCAGCCAGGGTACCATGCAGTAGGCTTTTGATAAGACAAACCAGTCAGTCAACAGTGCAAAATCCATCATTTTTGTTTCATCTTCTGCTCAGATCACTTATACACAGGTACTAATGGAGCTCTTCAGATGTTTGGGGCTGATTTATGTTTTCTGATAGGCATTCTCCTTGTCTTCAGCATGCCAAAATGCAGTATCAAGCCCAAAGTATCTACTGCACCAAACCCTGCTGGGAAGCTGAGTGTCTGGAAATTACAGCTTTGGGGGCAGAAGTCACACCTAGTGGGAGGAATCAGCAGAAAGAGTGCTGGAAAGGAGGATACTTCAGATAAATTGGCCAAATACCACTATGTTCTGATGAGGCTCTCTTAATTCATGAGATCCTACAGAACAGGACTGTTGGTAAATCCATTTTGTAAGCTGCAATAGCACTTGTAGGGACAAGCATCTGTGATGGTAAGAGGACACAAAAAGCTCTTTGCAGAATTAATCTCTCCCTCCCTCTCTGTTAATAAATATATTTTTAGTTATTTCAGAACACTATGCTTTCACTAGGCTGATACAGGGTGCCACATTTTTTATTACATCATTCCAACCACTTCTACCTCAAGAGTTCACACATATTCTTCAGTATTTGGACAGCAAAGACAATGAAGGCCTTGCAAACATCTAGAGTTAGGGAGTAGTGCCATAGTCTGGCTGAGAAATTTTGAACTTTGAGGTTTCTTCAAGATTGGTAGGTCTTAATGTGTTTTCTTCAGGCTTGAGGGCTTTGAATACTTGAATAAAGCAAAGACTTTTAAAATATTTATGTACTTAATACGAGTAGAACTTAGGATTTCCCAGGGTGCGAAAGTTACAGGAAGGAATTAGGTCATATTTTACTTTCTGTAGCCCACGAGAGCACATTAACTTGGAAATCTTCCATGGCCATAAGGGCTGACTTAGGAAATGTAGCACGTTAGGAGCAACCACATCAGAAGAACCCAGCACACTGAAAGAGCTTAATGTCAAATGGCATCTGTCACAAAAGTGAGGCTAACTCTATCCAGCTGGGCAGTAATCCACTAACTTCCATGTGCCATTGGGTAAGACGAAATGTGCAACTCTCTGCGCCATCTGATAAGCAGTTCAGACCTCCTCTTCCTCAGCAGAACACTGGCAGAAGTCTCACATTCTCACCCCTTCTTTTTATTTTTAAGCACTGCAAGTCAGCAAGCAGTGCAAAGCTGTTACTTGTGTACCCTTCATCCAGTACCAATACAGAAGACAAGGACATAGCCTACATTTTCCTGTGCACAAAGTCAGTGAGAGAGACATGCTCAAAGCCCATGCAGAGCTGGAGCAACAAATTGTATTTGCTGTAGCCTTGGTTGCTTATTGCTATGCACTCGTACAGCTCCACTTGCAATTGAGATTCTCAGTGCACTTTACAGACCTTAATAAGCCCTGTGGACTGTCAGCAAGATGCTAACCCACTGCTTTTAGGAATAGTGAGGGATTAGGCATCATCTGTGCATCTCAATTCACTGCATTGCTCTGAAAAACCAAAATATCTTTTTTTAAATACTCTGTATTTTTATAATTATATTTTTTATAAATACTCTGTCCAATGAGCTCCATTGGCAACCTCACTTTTTTTTTGCCTGAATCCATCTCTATGGCTTCATGGATACATCCCATTCAACTCATTAGTTTTCTGATTACATATAGGACCATGAAAGACAAAATACAGAGATTTTATTATTTTTCAGAATTGCATTTTGCTACTTTTTAGTGATGTTATTAACTTGTGAAACTCACTGCTGCAGGAGATTGTGGAGATCAAAAGTACAAATGGGCTCAGAAAAGATGGAATCAAATTATCAGAGAGAGGTATTGTCCACTCTGGTTAATGTAGTCTAGTCATCACCTACCACTCAGCAAGTCCCCATGCCAATATTTGGTACCAGTCAATGATAGAACTTCAGGCTAGAAGAGCACTTGCTACAAGTCAGTCTGGCTGCTCTTACTCTTCAGTTAGCCTCAGTGGAGCACCTGGAATATAATACTACAAATAATCATAGAACCATATAAAGGTTAGAGTTGGAAGGCACATTAAAGACCATCTAGATCCAAGCTCCCTGCATGGGCAGGGACACCTCCCTCCAGACCAGGTTGCTCCAAGCCCCATCCAACCTGCCCTTCAACACTGCCAGGGATGGGGCAGCCACAGCTTCTCTGGGCAACCTGGGCCAGGGTCTCACTGCCCTCATAGTAAAGAATTTCTTCCTAATGTCTAATCTAAACCTCCCCTCTTCCAGTTTTAAAGCATTGCTCCTTGTCCTCTTGCTACATGCCCAGCTTTCTTGTAGGGCCCCTTCAGGTAGTGGGGGGGCTGCTATAAAGTCACCTCAGAGCCTCCTCTCCTCGAGGCTGAACAGCCCCAACTCTCTCAGCCTGTCTTCAAAGGGGAGCTGCTCCAGCCCTCTGACCATTTTCGTCTCCCTCCTCTGGACTCATTTGAGGAGCTTTCTTCTTTTTATGTTGGGGGCACCAGAGCTGGACACTGTATTCCAGGTGGGGACTCACAAGAGCAGAGTAGAGGGGAAGAATCACCTCCCCTGACCTGATGGCCACACTTCTTTTGATGCAGCCCAGGACACGGTTGGTTTCTGGGGTCCAGCACATGTTGCCAGATCATGGTGAGGTTCACATCACCCAACAGCCCCAAGTCCTTCTCCTCAGGGCTGTCATCAATCCATTCTACTCCCAGCCTGTGTTTGTGCTCAGGATTGCCCCAGCCCAGGTGCAAAACCTTGCACTTGGCCTTGTTGAACTTGATGCAGTTTGCACAAGCCCACTTCTCAAGCCTGTCAAGGTCCTGTCAAGTATTACTGTATTACCAATAATACTACAGTGTGTTTCATTCTGAACAGTGATAGTGAGCCTGAGCAAAAGGCCTCAGTGTATGTGAAATGCCTCCAGATTTTTCAAATAGACCTCAGATGAAACTGAAATGTGAATACTTGCACACGTAAGAGAGCCTCAGGAATGACTGGTGAGATCCCTGTTGATAGGACATCTTTAGCCTTGAATCTGTGACAGTTTTACTTTAAGTTACCATTTTCACCTTCTCTGAAAAGTAACCTTTTACCAGACATTCATTCATACTTACATAGACAAAACCTTCACTTCAATGATGTCCTGCCGCAATTCCAGGCATTTGGTAGAGTTGTATTCCAAAGGCCCTTCATAAAACTCAAAATACCTGAAGGAGGAAAAGAAAAAAATATTATAAATGAGCCTTAGGCTGGAATACTTGTCTTGTGCATCAACAGAAACATGCTTAATTGATTGTAGAACCGATGTCCAATTTCTCCATCTCGACATGAGTTCCTCTATCTTTTAAGTACCAATGTGGACCAGCCACATCTATCAGCACATGGCAGCTGCCACTGGAAGTCAGGGGAAAAGTTTTTCCCACCCTTTGGGTGTCTAAATGTGCTGAAAGCTTAAGTAAGTTTCTTAAATTTTGCTTGTTTTGTGGAAAGCAAAAGTGTTGGTGGTTGCATCTTGTCTTTGGAGACCTTTGTGCACCTCTACGCAACCAAGCTTCCCGTTGGGACCTACTCTTTGGGTATATTCAGAGGGGAAGGGAAGCTGGGACTTTCTTCCTAATAAATTTGAGATGGTTTTGAGAACAAAAGGACTTGAATGCTCTGAGACAGCACAAAAGGCAGTGATATTCTTAATTAAAATGTAAAAATAAATATTTACGGTTTTGGTTAAATTCCCCCACCTTAACCTTCAGACAGGAGTGAATGGTAGTGACTCCTGTTTAGGGGCCAGAGAAAACCCAGGCTGGCCAGTGAATTCAGTAAGATTGTACTAAAAACAAAAACAAACCCCAAAAAACCCCCAGATTTAGGGTTTAAACCAACCTCTGTACCAGTTTCACCACTTGTCATTAGAATTCTGCACTAAAACCTAAGAACTGTGCATATCCATACAGCAGTTATGAGCATGATGAAGTACAAGGAGATGACCTGAAGGAACAGGTATTATGACCAAGGCTAGAGCAAGTTATTTTGATCCATCTTTCAAAGTCTCAGAATTAATCAGGCTCTAACTCTAAACTATCTTTTGCAGTTTCAATATGAAAGAAAAATACAAGATTCCTGGAAGACCTTTATTTAAAGAAATGTAGTATTTTGGGCTTATGTCATTTTAAAATAACATCAAAATTCACATTTGACCTGAATGTCTGTTCAGGTCTGAATGGAATCCTTAAGTAGGAAAGCCTTCACAGAATCACAGAATGACAGAACCTTAGGGGTTGGAAGGGACCTGGAAAGACCATCAAGTCCAACCCCCCTGCCAGAGCAGGGGCACCCAGACCACATCACACAGGAATGTGTCCGGGGGGGTTTGAATGTCTCCAGCCAAGGAGACTCCACAGCCTCTCTGGGCAGCCTGGCCCAGGGCTCTGTCCTTGTTTTTTTCCTTAGTAGCTCATGTTTATAGTAACATCAAAATCCTGAGGGATCCAAAATTTATCTGTTCTGGAGAAGCACTAAGCATTCACACCTCCCAGGGGAACTCTAGGAAAGGAGGGTGTGTCCAGAAAACAACATGTTCAGGTATCTCCAACAGGACTTCCAGAATAATCTAAAAAAACCCAACAGTTTCTGATTTTTGCCTTGTAAGTACATGCAGAAATCAATCTGATAAAGCAGAGAAGAAAGAAACCTATAAAAATTAGAAAGTGACTATTGCATGCAACTGGAAAAAGGCCAAGAGCTTCCCAAAGTTATCTGCTGCCAACTGGGAACATTTCTGACCTGTCAAATGATGCTTTAGGATGTGTGTCCTTCACCTCTCCCTCAGATTTTCACCAACTCAGGTTTGCAAAATCCAAACCAAATAATTTCTGTGATCCAGTGAGAGGTATAAACCTTGAGACTAAAAGGAAGAGAGTCATGCCTACAAGATGGAAGGAGGACATCACAAATTCCTAATAAAGAAGTAAACTCTTTACTGTCAGGAAAAAAACGATAGCTCAGCAATCTTTTGAAAATATGAGTATTTGGGAATGTGTTGGCATAGTCCTCAAGGCAAAAAAATATATTTTTATGGGTTTTGTAGAGGAAATTATGTATTTAAAGTACTTCATAATCAGTGACACACCTGGGAAAACACTTCCCCAGTCTGCAGAAGGGAGATGAAGTTCATGTAACGTGAACCTTCATCTTCTCTGAACCTTCACCTGAACTAAAAGGCTTGGATGTCCTTCCAACTCCATCATTCAGCCTTTACTAAGGGGTAGCTGAAATCCATTGAACTGGCACATCTCCCCTGTGCTTGGCTTGTTGAGCTGGAGCTGAGCGACTTGTGTACTTTGCAAGTTGATCCAAATGAAATTGGATTAAGAGCTCAACTGGTTGCACCAGGCCAAAGCCCTGTGTGGATGTACCCCAGAGGAATTTCCCCAGCTGAACTTCTCTTACTGTATTTTGCAGCATTCATTCTTTGGCTCTTTGAGCCAGGGAAGATGGGGGGCTCTGAACATGCATGTTCTCCACAACACCAGAGGCAGGTACACACCCCCACGCAACACTCAGCACATCACACACCACTACCACCTCTCTGGGTGTACAGGAGATAGCAGTGGCTACCAGACATTTCATCAGCCATGTCAGCCTCGCCTTTCATCCAGCACTGGATTTCAGTGCCTTGTATGTGCCTCAGGTCAGAACTGAATAGCAAAAAAACCACCCCAAAACCTAGATTAACATGTATTTTTATCCTTCCTGCATGCTTCTGGCTCTGCTGCTAAGTTAGAGAACTGCAGCTCAGATGTCAAGCAGCACATGCTGTCACGTGGGAATGCTGCAGCAGGGGAAAGCTGGCTTCAGCCTCTGGCACTGGAGACAAAGATGTCATTTTATGAAACAGAGATGAAATTTCCTGAGTCGCAGCCATTCCCTTTGATCACTGCCTGCTTACCCAATCCACCAACCAAAAATAGAAATTAAAAAGGATGTGTTACCAAAGAGGCAGAAGGGGAAGGAGGAAAGGATTAGATAAAAAATAAACCACTTCTGTATCTGAAAGAAAATCCATGAGGCAGCATTGGACTTGTAGGAGTTATTCCATTACCCTACAGCCTTGAAAATGATGGGCTGTGCCCTGCAAGCCTCTAACTCTCACAATAGCCCCAACTTTTCCAGCAAAGTGACTGTGAGTGTCAAATTCACCCTTTGGCAGTTTGTAGAAGTGCAGAGGGAGGAACCCATGAAACAGGCTGGATGACACATTGCCCATGGGACACATGCCAGGTGTCACTTCTGCACCAAGTGGGGACAAGATGCCACTGGCCACAAGGTGAGCTCTACTGAAATTATCTCAGTGTGCCTGAGCCAATGAATAGTCATTACCTGGGCTGTCATTCATAAGCCCTGAGCTGCATCTGAAGCAGACAACCAGACACTAAGCCTCCTTAGTGTTAATGCTACTGATGCCACAGCACTCAGGTTGCAAGCACTGAAGATGCTACAACAGCAGTGAGGAGTTTGCAAGACAGCATCTGGTCAATAGACTGAAAAAAATATTTAAAAGGTTCCCTCTTTCTCCTGGGAGCGTTCATGCTATTTATTTGCTTCACAACAATCCTCCCTACATACACTAAGGCAAATTAGCAGAGGCAGCTCCCTGGAGCACCAGCCAGCGTCTTCCCGCAGAAGCGTTTCATGCTGTACTTTCCCAGAATACAGCTTTTGCACAACACCAGGCTTTAGAACAAGAAACACGGGTTCCTTCATCCCCTGCAGATGTACTTTAAACCCAGCTCTTCCTCTCTGCAGGGCCTGGTCCTGCCAAGTGTGTTTGGAGACCTGCCCACCATGCTCTCCCTGAGGAAGTATCAGGCTCACCCACTCCCTGGTCTCCGAGCGCTGCTTCTGCCTACTGACTCCCACTGCAATTCATGTAGTTCCCTTGAACAAAGATACATCTGCCTGTTAGAAAGCTTAATTAGTACAAATGGAAACTGTCCTCCCCATAATCTTCCTCAGCCTGATACCCAGCTAAGAAGCAAGGGTGTAGTGCAGCTTGTATTGGTTTATGCTCTTGATTACTGACAAGTGACAAACCTGACTACTCCTTTTGCTACGAAAATGTGTTTTATATCCATAAATGCCAGAATGTCCTCTCCCTGCTTGCCCTGCTGAAATCTAAATAACTTTTATCTCTCAAAGGTCACAATTCTACTGGAAAACCAGCACAAGAACTCGTGGTTCTCTACAGTAGGGAACACAACTACAACATAATCACAACAACCAGCACATGGGATTGGGCTCCCCAGGGTACTGGGCATTACACATGACCCACTGTTCTATGTACTTACAAATATACAACATTTTTCCTGGATCAAATCCCATATGTGAACACCACACAAGCTCCAATTGCTTAGAGAGGACTCTGTTTTTATGGCTCTCAGTACTGAATGGCCAGAAATGTGATTGTATTGACTTTGTAATTTTCCATTTTTTACTAAATGAGACTTTCTTGTTTTCTAACCTTCATGTCTCCCATTGCAGCCTCACTTCCAGCTGAGCAGCTTACTGAGCTCACTACTAAGACTACTAAGGTCTTTGATCATCAGCAGTTGGGCTGCTCCTGCCTTGATCAAAAGTAAGCTTTTCTTGATCATGCTGCATGAATTAGAAAGCCTGGCACTTCAATCCTGCCCTCAAGTGACATTTGGATTGAAGAACTGATTTATCTCATATATTGAACAAAGCGTTTAAAATACAATTGAGTGTAATTGTCAGGCATCCTTTAAACAAGACCATTTTCTCCTGGACAAGCAGGCTTCTCCTTTGGCTGGTTCCTGCAGTGCCAGTTCTGCACTGTTCACAGCGAGGCAGCGGCACTAACGCAGCAAGAGAGTAGAGCACTGCAGGGAGGATTCTACCTACCCTGCAGGAAAAACAAAGATCTTTCAAAAAATACACACCATCCAGTGACTAAGAAATCCAGTGACGAATTACTTATTGAGACAACTGACCAATTAACAGTGCCTGCACTGATCCATATGGGCAGATCCATAGCCAGCCTCGGGTCTAGATTCACCTTCCTACACAGGAGCCTTGCAAGTGAACTAATTGTTCCTGGCACACTCCTCAAAGCACACAGGGACTCACATTCATCTGGCAAGGCCTTCATGGGATCTTCAGACCCTTGCAGCAAAAATACTGCTGAGGTGGA